CCGTCTCCTGAGGGGGAGTTTCACCTCAATTTCTTCCTTCGTCACTACATCCTCTCCCCCTCTCCCTCGGGCAGCTTCCAATCCACCCTTCACTCGCCGCACTAATACCTCCTCCCCGTCGAAGGCTCCTAAGGATGGGGTGGGGGCGACTGGGGGTCCCAACTAGACTTTTGTACACTAAAATACCTGCTACCTAAGCCCCTGCGGGGGAGGGGAGCGGGGCGAAAGATCCCAATCCGTCAATGAATGGGTAATTGTTGCTGTTTGCTCGTGCTAAACGGTGCAGATGACTGATGTGCTTTCAGGTAACAAAGAGACAAGCACTGAAGAAATAATTGATGCATTAAATCGGCGTATTTCCGAGTACAAGAAATATCTTGCAAGGTAAACCTTCGATTTTTGCTATCTCCTATTCATTTATTATCGGAAGGGGGGGAGGGGGGAGGGAGGTTCGATTTTCGGTACTCTCTTGTTCACTTTTTTCGAGAGCGAGGGAGGCTGAAATTTTGAGGGAATGTTCCTGACCAATTACCACACAGTTGTAGAATTAACTTCCTGAACTTTGAGGACCAGTATACCGCAAACTGTAGTTACTGGTTGAGACTTGTTCCACTGTTTTCGTTCAGATTTTCCAAGTCAACACTCTACCAATTAAGCTATTTTTTTGGCCCAATTCTATGCATTTCGAAATGTTCATTTTTCAAAAGCGATCATTTCTTGGGCAGCACTGAAAAGTTGTGTTGTAAAATTTTCAGGCACAGTCGCAGGACATATCTTGGCAAGCAAGCTGCAAGTTCGGTGGAAATTTTAACAAGAGAATTGGCAAATATTGAAGCGATGAGTAAAGCGAGTACGCCACCAGCTACGCCCTGTAGCGTTTCGATCGAGGTCCACTCTCAAATGCTTTTTTTTTATTTCGCCTTTCATTTGTAACATTTGTTTTACTGGAAAATTTTTATAAAAACTGATTTTGAAGATTGGAAAATCATGAAAAAATTACCATGAAAATTATCATGAGAATACTATGATTGCGAATAAGTCTGTTAGCGTTTGCAGGTTGTTAGCAATGGTACCACGCATCTTCGACCATGTGTTGTTCTGCATACCAA